CATTGGTTGATATACAGAAACTTATTAGGATGACCAGCCATCCCTGTAATGACCTTCCAGACAGACTAAGTAACATGAACATCCAGAGACCCTGTGGAGGGCTATTCAACATTAAACACAGGCCAATCATTTTCACAAAGAGACTGGAGTCTGCCTTTGGAGAGACAGACACCACAGTATTTAATGAACCCAACAGAGCAATTCCTTATTGTACAGTCCAGGGGACTAGAGGGCTTAGAAACCCATGATCCCATACTGCAAACCAGTAAATTACAGGAGGCACCTAATGAGGATCAGACCTCCAACTACGAGAGGATAAGCAAAGGCTGATAGAAGTTTCTGGACTGTTGACCAGTCTGAAAGTGCAACAGAAGCAAGCCCTCTGGCAAAGAGCACAGCAAGAATGCAAGGCAGAGAAAGAGGCCAAGGGTGACAGGGATATCGAGATACCATAGATAGTTAGACGTCAAAGCAGGTATCCAAACAGAAACCAGATACTAAACAGAGACTAAGTTTAGCCAATGTCTTGTCTTGACAAACAGTGTCTAAGGAGAAGCCTCATCAGGCCGAAGACTGACAGGTCGTGAATTCTGTGAACCCATAACAAACAAACAATTAAAACACAGTGACAGACATGGCACATCCAGACCAAGTCAGAAGAGTTACAGATCCCTGGAACAACTTTAGGACAGAAAGTGGATCCCTGGAACAACCTCAGGGCAAAAAACCAGAGGACTCTATTCAGCCAACATCTTGGCCTAATGAATAGTGTCCAGAGTAACCTTGTCAGGCCATGACTCCCTTAAACAGAATTGTGACCACAAACAGAACAAAGCAGATTCTTACCTCCTAGGAGAATATAGATGGACTCTGGTTCTTTTTTTAGGTGAGAGAAATTCAGTGGTCGTTCCAACTCCATCCAAGCCAGATGAGCGGTTATGGGGCTCTGAATGACTCAGGGGGTGCCTCCTTTATAACATCTCTGCCAAGTCAGTGGACAGCCAGAGTGATGCTGCCTCCCAAGGTTGGCAAATCCCTCTGGGGCCTCCAAATGTTATAGCCAGGTTGCAAGAAAGGAGAATTGCCATCACACCAAATTCAGATTATGAATCCTTTATTAGTGCATGGTCAAGAGTAGGCTCACACCAAGAAGCTCTTGACCCTGGGCAAAATTAGCAAGAAGCTTATAAGGGCAAAAACTGCAAGTGAGCTACAAAGCCAGGGGGTGAGGGTACAAGGAAATAAAAACAAAATATAGGAACAAAATATGGGGATGTGGCAAGGGGAATTTTGCAGGGAACAATTTCTTGACTTAACATCTGATTTTAGTTAATAAAGCATACAATTACAAAAATTTATGGCTAAGGAGTTTCAAATGGTCAGCAAAGACAGCATGAATGGCTCAGGGGAGCAAAGCTGTGGGCCTGTGGCCATGGGAATGTTACAACAATCATCATACATATACATTGGAGGGGTTCATTTTTAGGTCAGGCAGGCAGCTAAGATGGAGGATTTTAACAAAATGGAGTTACTTATGCCAAGCAAGATATTTTTAACTATTTTGGTCATTCTACTGGATATTTCAAGATTGGGTTAATTCCATGTTCTGGTCAAGTTCTGAGATTCCTTCTTCAGCTAGATTGATTCTGCTTTCTATGCTTGTCATCTTGTTATTTACTTCCTGGATGAAATTTTTTATTGCCAAAATCTCTGCTACAATTTCTTTCAGTGTTGCATCTTGTCTTTCTTGAGTCTTAGTCACTCTTTCCATCCATTCCCTCATCCCTGTCATAAGCTGGGGCCAGTCGTTGGTGACTTCCATTGTTTGGGCACCAAGGTCTGGTTTTTAGGAGTTTTGTCTTTGGTACACTTGAAGTTGCCTGAGATCTTCCTTTGGTTTTTCCTGATTTGCGACAGATCTCTTGTTTTTCTCTTTAGTTCCATTATTCAGTGTCATTGTGAGAGGCTTTCCTTTCTGATGTCTGCTCAATCCTGATCCAGGCTGTAGATTTGTTCTATTTTGAAGTAGTACTGTGGATGGGAAGCTTTGCTGTCTCTTGTAGATTCTGAAATTCAAATACAGTAGGGGATGGAGTGCTAGGAATCAGAAACTACTTGAAAATTAAAAGGTTCACTTATGGCTGGGCTTGGAGGCTCAGCCTGTAATCCTAGTGCTTTGTGAGGCCGAGGCAAGTGGATTGCCTGAGGCTGCATGTTCAAGACCCACCATAATAACTTGGTGAGACCTCATCTCTACAATAAATCAAAAATTAGCCAGGCAGGGTAGCACACACCTGTAGTTCCAGCTATTTGGAAGGCTAAGATGGAAAGATTGCCAGAGCCCAGCAGATTGAGACTGTGGTGGCCAGGAGCGTGCCACTGCACTCCAGTCTGGGTGACCGAGTGAGACTCCAACTCAAAAAAAAAAAGCTTCACTTATTGTGGTATGTGTTCCCTGAGTCCCACTCCCCCCCACCACTCTATATGATGATGCAAAGCAGAAACCAATGCAACAGCAATTGAACACATACACCCATACCCCAAAACAAACTGGAATAACAACCAGGTGAAATAAAACAAACAACAACAAAAAAACACCAAGAAAACTAAACACACACACACATGCCTAGCACAAAGCGAATAGAAAAGAAAAACAGAAAGACCAGAGGAAAGTAAAAAAAAATTTTTTTTTGAGTTGGAGTCTCACTCTGTCACACAGACTGGAGTGCAGTGGCTGCTCCCAGCCACCGCAGCCTCAACCTGCTGGGTTCCGGTGATCCTTCCACCTCAGCCTTCCAAGTAGCTGGAATTACAGGCATGCGCTACCACGCCCAGCTGATTTTTGTTATTTTATTTTAGAGATGAGGTCTCACTGCCCAGGCGGGTCTCAAACACACAGGCTTAGGCAATCCACTCACCTCAGCCTCCCAAAGGTGCAGGATTACAGGCTGAGCCACCAAGCCTGGCTAAGAAAAAGGAATTCAGGTCAAACTCTCACACATATATTGACACACATCTTAAACTATAAAAAATGAATATAAGAAAAACCCAGAAGAACAAAAGAGCAAAAACCAACAACAATAACAAAATCAAAAGATGAATACTCAATCATTCATATACACACATAAACAGAAAAATTTCAAAAAAAACCAGAAAAAGAAAAGAAAAGAAAAACTGGGGGCAGTGCATACCAAACCCTCATATACACATTCATGCACAAAGAAGAAATATTTTAAAAATAGATGAACTAACAGTCAAAAAATCTTAAAATTAAAAAAATAATTGAAAATTATTCAACTGCTAATACCTCTCGTTTTGAAGCGAAGGCTTCTCAAATTATGAAAGCTATTAGTATAACTGCGGTTAGAGAGATAAATGAGCCTATAGAAGAAACGGTGTTTCATATAGTGTATGTGTCTGGGTAGTCTGAGTATCGGCGGGGTATGCCAGATAGTCCAAGGAAATGTTGAGGAAAAAAGGTTAGGTTAACTCCCACAAATATAATTGCGAAATGGATTTTGGCTCATGTTGAATGAAGGGTAAATCCTGAAAATAAGGGGAATCAGTGGACAAAGCCTCCTATAATTGCAAAGACTGCGCCTATGGATAAGACATAGTGGAAGTGTGCTACTATATAATAGGTGTCATGGAGGACGATGTCAAATGAGGAGTTGGCAAGGACAATCCTGGTCAGACCTCCGACGGTAAATAGAAAAATGAAGCCTAGAGCTCATAATATAGCGGGAGATCATTTAATGTTGCCTCCGTGTAGGGTAGCTAGTCAGCTAAATACTTTTACGCCAGTTGGAATAGCAATAATTATGGTGGCAGATGTGAAGTATGCTCAAGTATCTACATCTATCCCTACTGTGAATATATGGTGAGCTCAGACAATAAAGCCTAGGAATCCGATGGATATTATTGCTCAAACTATTCCTATATAGCCAAATGGTTCTTTTTTTCCAGAATAGTAGGTTACAATATGGGAAATTATACCAAAGCCAGGTAGAATAAGAATATAGACCTCAGGATGACCGAAAAATCAGAATAAGTGTTGATAGAGAATGGGGTCTCCTCCTCCAGCGGGGTCAAAAAAGGTTGTGTTAAGGTTTCAGTCAGTTAAAAGTATGGTAATTCCTGCTGCTAGGACTGGGAGAGATAATAGTAGTAGAACTGCAGTAATGAGGACAGATCATACAAATAGAGGGGTCTGGTATTGTGATATAGTGGGGGCTTTTATATTGATAATGGTAGTGATAAAGTTAATAGCGCCTAGGATAGAGGACACTCCTGCCAAGTGAAGAGAGAAAATAGTAAGATCTACAGAAGCTCCTGCGTGGGCCAAGTTTCCCGCTAGAGGAGGATATACGGTTCAACCTGTTCCTGCGCCCGCTTCTACTATTGAGGAGGCTAGTAACAGAAGGAAAGAAGGTGGCAGCAGCCAGAAGCTTATATTATTTATTCGTGGGAATGCTATGTCGGGGGCCCCAATTATAAGAGGTACTAGTCAATTGCCGAAACCCCCGATTATAATAGGCATAACTATAAAGAAAATTATTACGAAAGCATGAGCAGTAACGACGACATTATAGATCTGATCATCTCCCGATAGAGTCCCCGGCTGTCCGAGCTCTGCTCGAATAAGAAGGCTAAGAGCAGTACCTACTATTCCAGCTCAAGCACCAAATAATAAATATAGAGTTCCGATGTCTTTATGATTGGTTGAGAATAATCAACGGTTAATGAACATAGGTAGGGCAAAATGACTGATAAAGCATTAGGCTGTAAATCTAAAGATAGGGGTGAAGCCCCCTTTTTACCAAGTTCTGAGGTGAATATCATATTGAATTGCAAATTCAAAGAAGCAGCTTCAACTCTGCTGGGACTTCTCCCGCCTTTTTTTTCTTGGCGGCGGGAGAAGTAGATTGAAGCCAGTTGTATAGGGTGTTTAGCTGTTAACTAATTTTTCGTGGGGTTAGAGCCCACCAATCTAGTGCTTTCCGTGTTAGTTTAATGCCATTGAGAGAGTTTACAGCGAAATCTGGTGTAATGTTCAAGCCTAGAAATGCCTTATGTGGATCGTCAGAATCGCATCTGTGGTTTTCTAGACATTGAAGAAAATGAAAACAGTGGCAAATTTCTTCGAAGGTACTTCATATTGGATACCAGAGAAGACAGTTTTGTATGGTACATGGATAATCCACAGAACCTACCTTCTGGATCATCACGTGTTGGAGCCATCAAACTTACCTACATTTCAAAGGTTAGCGATGCAACTAAGCTAAGGCCAAAGGCTGAGTTCTGTTTTGTTATGAATGCAGGAATGAGGAAATATTTTCTACAAGCCAATGATCAGCAGGACCTAGTAGAATGGGTAAATGTGTTGAACAAAGCTATAAAAATTACAGTACCAAAGCAGTCAGATTCACAGCCTAATTCCGATAACCCAAGTCGCCAAGGTGAATGTGGGAAGAAGCAAGTGTCTTACAGAACTGATATTGTTGGTGGTGTGCCCATCATTACTCCAACTCAGAAAGAAGATGTA